CCCCCCCCATAAAAAAGGCCGATTTCTTTGATTTTTAAAATTTCATTATTTTGACGATCGCCTGATTTCACCACAATGCCTCACGTCGAATGATCCGCTAGGAAACACATTGTACATGTTGTAGCAGTTGGCAGTTGGCGGGTGCTCTAGTGTTGTTTGTTCCTTCTTTTCCATCCTGCGGGTGGTCGGATATATGGCACAACTAGTAGGTCCTATTCTATTATTAGTATAGGGTTTTACGGCGCTCGCAACTGCTAAGGTCATATGAGCGCGCGAAACACAAGTAAGTTGTTTACTTTCGCAAAAGTTTGCTGCACGATTGGTTAACTAATTGATTTTAAAATGCTCAAATGTTAAAATGTTAAAATTCAGTGTAAATATATTTGTGATTTAAAACAACTCTTATGAGTAACAATAAAAATTTTAAATAGTACATTTTCATTTTACAATTTGCCATAAAGGCCAATGGCCTTCATAAAATTCAAAATTTTGCTGGGACCAACGACGGAAAAAATATCTTGCAATTTCTTGCTAGTAGGTCTGCTAGTAGGTCCTACTTCTTTTCTTTCCCTCTCTTGTTTCAGTCTGTCTGTTTTGCTTTTTCACTGTACGAAATGATCGTTATCGTGTCGATGTGCTTCTCTATGTACTCAGACACACAACTTATTGTCCTATCAAACTTCTATCATCCTTATCTCTCCTCATTTTTCTTTTTATGTAGTTCTCAAGTAACACCTCTAATCTTCGGCACTCATATGACCTGATTGTGTTGCAAGTGCCGTAAAACTCTTTCTAAAACTAAATACATGTCGGTGGGTGTTGATAAACGTTTTAGCCTCTTCGTCTTAGAGGTAGCAGAAGTGGGCGTTGACTATTGAAAAAGAGGTAGACAAGCACTGGCGTCGTATCGCCCCTCACTCCCCCCCCCCCTCTCTCTCTCTCTCTCTCTCTCTCTCTCTCTCTCTTTCTCTCTCTTTCACACTCCTCGTCCCCGTCTTGTTTTTCCTGTACATTTGACATGTGGATTCCATGAAGCAACGACCTGGCCCTTCCTGTTCTTACCAGTGTCCTGCTGGGAGGGATACGGAAAGACCATGTTTTATCGTTGCTCATCGTTATAAACTATTTCTTTGTTGCTCCAAT